CTGGGCGGCTAGCGATTGGCTTCCTAGCCGTATAAGAGACTTGAGCGGTTTCCGCCCAAGTTGGAGGACTCCACAGCCATCTGGAGGAGGAGAACTTCACGTCTCGTGAAGATCTCTAAGCGCTGCGGAGCCTATCGGACCCAGTGTATACCTTGAGAATGCTACAGGGGTCTGATCAACCTCTGGCCTCTCCCCGTCGCCGAGCGCAATCCTTCGACGAACCCCTTTTCCCTGTGCGCAAGTTCCACGAAGCCTAGCAAACTTCGTGAGAGTGTATCCAGAGCTCTTTTCTCCAAGTTGTTTTCTTCGGTTGATGCGACGGGCTCGCGTGTTTAGAGCCTTCAACCGGATTGGGCTAGAGGTTCGCGTGAAAGGAACTCTTGTCCGCCTCTCCTGTTTTCTGTCTGTGACTGCAACTCAAGCAAGTTTTCCTGCCTGCACCGCGACCATCTTCGGTGTAAGTAAAATAATCTTTAATCAACCGCTAAGCGTCCGTGCCTAATTCTAGTCCACCGGCCTGCATTCCCCGACCCACGTGCCAGGGCTGCTGGCCACAGCCCGCCGCGCGCCCCTGAGGGCCTCGGACCGCTCCCGGCCCGCACAGTGCGTAGCTCAGGGTCTGTTGTGTTGGATTGTTCTCAGGCCCTATTGTTGCTCATTTTACAATCTTAGGAGGATGAGACAGTGGAACCCAAAGTGCAAACACACTTTCTTGTACAAGCGTTACCTCAGGGATGGATGGAAAGGAACTAATAGAGGAGGGAACAGGTTGGGGGTGTTTTGGTTTGGGACAGGATGGGCTGGGCTTGGGGTGTGTACAGTGTGGCAGAAGGCCACCTCTGTTTCTCCCCCAAAACTCTGCTCTGTGACAATTCAGTTAGGATGGGCCCTGCAGAGGGTACACACTTTACCCTATCTTTTTAGGTAACCTGAGCTGGATACATTCCTGAGGGAGGGGGGAAACCTGCTCCCTCTGCCTACGTGACTGGCATCACATACCTGGGTGAGGGGCTTGGGCACCCTGGTGAGCTGGAGACTGCCAGTCTGCCTGGCAACCAGTGATGCATTTCAAATTGGTTGGCCAACAGTCAACAGGTGCTGGCCTCCATTGGACCAGGTAAATGAGGTCATAAGGGCTATATAAGTTAAGGACTGCCCAGGAGGAGGGTGCAGCAGCCATAAGGAAGACTCAGAGAGAAGAGCTGGACCATCAGAAACTTGCTCTCTCTCAAAACTCATGATCAAGGAGCTGCCTGCCTCCAGAGGGAATCCCCACCTGCCTCTGGATGATACTTGTGAGTAAGCTACCTGAGATCTAACTAGATATATAGCTTGCAGTAACTCTGATCCATGATCAAAGGCTACTCCAGCCACCCTGTTTGATCTATGGGATTTCTCTGATACTACTCAACTCTGTAGTCTATTCTAACCCTACTCCTTGTAACCAATAAAGTTCTCCTTTGTACCTAGTGTGGGAGACTTACTGGGAGTGGGTCTAGATTATGCCTTGGGGTCCCCTTGGTTCGGCTGACTAAGGGAGACCACTACATGTGCTTCCGACTGAGGGAAGCACCCCAAGTTCTTGAAGTGAGTCAAGTACCCACGAGGGCTACTAGGCCTGTGTTTCCCAGGGGGCACAGAGCCGGAATCAAGCCCATCCCTGGGTGGTCGCAGCTCTACCCCCAGGCTAGCGGGTGTGTCCAGGAAGGGGGTCGGCCAAATGTGAGGCGCCCCCAGGGAGGCACTTGGAGCCTGAAAAGTGGTTGGGCGCAGTGAGGTGGGTGGCTCAACACAGGAGCACCCCCTACTGGCCTGCCACATACTGCAGTGCCAAATGGTTTGGAGATGCACAATTTGTTTGACGTGGCTACTCCTGGGAGGAGGAGAAGGCCATGGATCAGGTGAACAGTTTAGCTTCATACTTTGGCATTGGAGGGGGCAGATGGTCTGAGTCCTCTGTGGTGCCCTGGGACACATCCAGACAAGTGTACACATGCATTTCCCCAGGGATAAACAGCAGCAGTTGATGGTTGTGCGCTTGTCCCTGGGGAATGCTTGTGCATGCACGCTGTTGTGCATGGCAAGTTGTCCCTGGTGGGGTAGAGGAGGCTGGAACCAGCACTGGGGCTGGCCCCAGAAGTTTTACCTGGAGTCCTGGGGGGCTATCAGGGCTCCAGCAGCAGTGATCCAGCATGCAGAGGAGTGTGGCTCCAGCCTGCAAGGCTCCGGTTTCAGGTGGCGCACACTGCCACCATGTGTGCCGCCCTGCTTTCTTCAGGCATGGGGGTTTTTTTACGCAGGGATCTCCTGCTGTTAAAAAATCTCACCGCGCTGCAAATCAGCAGCATGGCCAGCACCTGCATGTGCAGTGCATGTGGTTTGCAGTGCTACAAATGGGTCTGCACTAACGCATACTGCATCTGCATGCTTGTCTGGGCTCATGTGCCCTTGGAGATTCTTGGAGGAAGTCACATACCTTGTGTAAAGTACAGTGAACCAAAAAAGGCCCTTGTAAAGGGCCAGCAACTCTGAGGTCCTGGGGCTATGACAGCCAAGCCACTTCATCCTGCAGACTTACTCCAAGAGGAAAAAGGAGGAGGGAGGGGGATTAAGGAAAACTCAGCACTGGTCTCTCAGCTGCCACTGAGCTGTCTGGTAAACCTCCCCTGGACTGACAGGACTAGAATTCGGCCACTAAATACTCCTGAAAATCCTACCTGTCATTCCCAGTCTCTTTAATGGCCAAATGCAGGCTAGAACTGGGGGGTCCTGAGCTGCACAGCCCCCACTTAATAAGTCTAGGTGCTAGGGAGTTGGAGTTAACAGAAGGTCTTGCTTGTCTTCAGCAGCACTCCTAGTCAGGGTGAGCGGGTTCTGTTCATTTTAGACCTAGGAAACCCTGCAATGACACTACTCCCACACATCAGGTTTACAGGAAAGGAACATGCAATAAGCATCTTTAATACAAGAGAAGAAAAAGAGATTAACTACCAACAAGAGAAATGGTCGCTTGAAGAACCTCCAGATTAGAAGAAAAATCCTCCACCTGTTCGCATTAAAACAGAAGGCTCTGAGACAGCACAGGAATTGTAAAGTATCAAGATTTTATTTTTATAGAGTTTTTTTTTTATATTCTCAAATGAAACATTTGTTTAAAACAGCAGCAAGCAGAACGTACAAGCTGAGAAAAGTGGCAGCGCAGGTAACTCGTCTGGCTAATGCCCATTCATGTACAAGATGTACATTAGGTTTTTTTGAGCACCTTTTGTATTCTTGGTTGAAGTGTACAGTAAGGCAGTGGTTTTTTTGATAAGGAATATATATATATATATTTTTTCCAATTGTCACTATGCATTTTTAATCACATGCAAATTAAATAAAATGTACAACCTGAAAACGTTACAACCGTAGACGATTTTCTCAAAGCAAAGAAGCTTCTAATAAAAGACAAATACCGACACAACAGCGATAAAAAACCAAAAAAGAAATGAAGGGATAAAGAGACTATGGGCAGGAGCTATTGCCATGGTAGCTTGAGCAGGGAAGGCTGAGACTCCAGCGAAGACTCCACCTACCATTGGGAAAAGTAACAGGATGGATGATTATCAACAGATGTCTTCAGCCAGCTCCTCCTGCAAGGAGTCACTCTAACCTGAGCAGCTCCACATCGAAGATGAGGGTAGCATTGGGAGGGATAACTCCAGGATGGCCTGTGGTTCCATAGGCCATCTCAGGTGTACAAGTTAGCTTTGCTCTTTGTCCCAGGCTCATCTGGTGGTCAGGTGTTGAAGAAGGGAGGAAAAGATGGTGTTAGGAAAAAAAAAATACGTGTCAAGTTGTTAAACAGGAGATTTGAAAAATCAATGGGAATTAGGCACCAAAATTAGCTAGCTAGCCTCCTAAATCTTACCAGGCTTCTGCAGGCACCTGTGTAAAGCTGGCCCCAGACAATTTAGCCTTGGATCGCCTAACTCAGGTCAGCAACGCTTTTGGCCGGAGTGCCAAAATCACCCCCCATGCTTCGACTTGGAGTGCCAGAGATGGGGGAGCTGCAAAGGGCCCGATCCTCATTGCTGGTAGTGGCTGCACACATGCCTCCGGGTGGAGGGCAGAGGAGGGGCTCCAGAGCCCAGTGCAGATGTTTGCAGCCTCCCGGCTGCCTGCCGCAACCAGCCCAGGCTCTGAGCATTGGTAGCAGGCAGCCAGGAGGCTACAAACAGCTGTGCCAGGCTCCACAGCCCTGGTACTGGCTCCATGGCAGCAGCAACTGCACACGTGCCTCTGGGTGGATGGTGGGGGAGAAGCCAGTGTTGCGCCAGGCCCCTTCCCAGCCATGCGCTGAGGTGTACACAGCTGCCGCAGCCACAGAACTGGTGCCAGGGCTGCAGAGCCCCATCCAGCTATTTGCAGCCTCCCAGCTGCAACCAGCCTGGGCTCTGGGTAGCTGCTGGCAGAAGCTGCCCAGAGTCCAGGTCAGCTGTGGCATGCTGAGGAAAAGGGCTTCATGTGCCATGCTCTGGCACGCGTGCTGGGGGTTGCTGATCCCTGGCCTAGCTCCCATATCCTTTAATGCTCATTGGCAATCTCTTGTGCTAATTTTTTAATCCCACATTGATGGATCATACTGGTTATTAGGGAATAATTTCTGCAAGGTGCTAGCTCCTGATAAGATGCAGGGTACTCTCAACACCCATTGATTTCAAGGGAGCCAGGTACAGGAGGTACTCGGTGGGTGCATCTACATGAGATGTTTACTGAGGAGCTGCCTAATTAACTAATTAACTCCACTGTAGGTCAGTACTTGTCAAGATTAAGTAATAGCCTATGGCAGTGTTTTTAGTGTAGAGCAACACATATATAGATGATGGGGCTGGTTAGGGCACAAGGGTGCTTCAGTGCAGGGGCTGCCTGCTGGCTAGCCCTGCACTGGAGCACCCTCATGCCCCAGCCAGCATTGACCTGGGTTGCAGCAGCCCCAGGCTGGCAGGCTGACTCCTGGGACCCCTTACCAGTTGGGGCAATTCTGACCCAGCTCAACATGCTGCAGGCCCGGGCACACGTGTAAATGCAGCACCCAGGAGTAATAAACTCCAGTGCGGTATGCACCAGGGTTTATTGCGTTGCATTAATTTCACGTGTAAATGTGCCCAGTATGCAATAGGACCAAGGAGGATGAGAAGGAACCCAGTTCAGTAAAGCACTTAGGCCACACTTCCTGAGGATATATAGGAATTTATCTGCATCTTTTACTGGCTAGGTGCTAAGCTGCTGCCTAACTCCATAGCCACCCAAATGGCCTCTGATGAGCATGTGAAGAACCACACAAGCGCTGATGCAACTATTGAGCTTGGAGCCCCCAGCTGAGGCTGAAGCCCCAAAGCAAGATTCTCCAGGACTGCATGAATACAGCCTGCTGTTGGGGGTTGGTAAGTTTGTCCCACACCATAATATCTCAGGTGGTTGGAGACCTCACCTGGGAAGCCTTCATCCTAACTCCTGCTCTGCCTCCAACTATTCCAGAGGTATTTAACAACCCATTGGGCCACTAAGAGAGGTGGACCCTACAGCCCACTGGTTAAAACATTCTTCTGGGCTGTGGGAGACCCAGTTCAAACACCTTCTTCTGCTTGCTTTGGATAAAGAATTTGAACCAGCGGTTAGGAGACTGTCCTAAACACTGGCTGCAGGGTATTCTGATATGACTATCAGGCTTTCCTCTTGAAGGTGCTCCACTTGGTATAATACACTCAAAACCTGGGTTCAGATCAGGAAGGGAACAGATATGAACTGCGAGGAGTAATGTGCTATGTGGCAGCGAGGTGGAGTGCCTTGTCCCCGTGTTTTGTGCAGGGTTAGGTGTATCAAAATGCACCCAACAGACCCAGTCTTGCAGATGAGGCTGGAGGAGGACACCCCACCCACAGGCAATACACTAGATACTTGAGAACCTTTGCTTTTTGCTTCTGTGGTCAGGCAGGGGGTTTGGACAAGGTATATATATTTTAATCCTCTGTTTAATTAGGTGAATCCTGCTGGGGCCTTGGCATGAGGTAGACACCAAGCAACTTGTCACTGAGAGAACAGGGAGGATTGTGGACTGGCCCAGAAGCAGGCATTTAGTCCTCTCCAGGTTAGGTGGCAGCAGACAGGCATTTGAGACTCTACATTTTGGATTCAGACACCTAAAGTAGAAGTAGCTGCTTAAGTTTCCCCTGCGAATCTCGCCTTCACCACCTGACTTACATAGGAGCTGTGCCCCTCCTCAGTGACTCAGTGGAGTTACCGATGCTAATAATCAAACCATTAACTCCCTGTACCCATTTCCCATCCATACACTGAGGATAACGATAGTCACCTCCTTTGTAAGTGGGTCGTGAGCATTAATCCATTCATGTTGCTTAAGTACTTGAAATCCAGAAACGGAAGCAGCTCTCAAAGTGTTTATTAATTATTCATTTCTAGTGTAATGGTCCACTAGGAGGAGCTGGAGGGTAATTTGTCACAAAGTAGATTATGGGAAAGGATTTAGGCTACATATTAATTAAGGCAGTGTGGTGGTAGGCAGGGCATTCTGGGAAGATTTGCAGTAATGCTGACTTAGTGCAGCTCAGCATTACAGGACTACCTGAGTCCACCTCCCACTGGGATAAGTCTGTTCCTCTTTGTGACCTTATATGCACTTTCAGATTTATAGTACTTGTAGGGCTCCATTTTGGTGTTCCCAGTGCTGAACATATACAAATCTTGTGCCAAAAACTGTCAAAACCCACAACAGTAACAAGACATTTGTAGACCACAGCATTGCTAACACTTTGCACACCATTATCAGTCTTGTCCATTCTTGTCTATTTAGATTGCTACTTGTCTCCTATTCTATGCACAATATAGGGACGTGGCCTGGTGCCTGGGGCAAAGCAGTTGCCGGCGTAATTGTGAATATGGTTGTGTGGCTGCCAGCAGAGGTGGCTTTTTTCAGCGCCCCACCACCCGCCTCAAGCTGGTGCCCAGGCAGTTGTCCCTATTTCCTCCCCCCAGTTATGCCACTGATTCCATATGCATACAGTGCCTTGTACACTAGGGTCCCGACTTCATCTCTATACCTTGCCGTAAGACAAACTATATTCATTTGAAAACTAAAGCAAGGCAATTGAATGCTTAAGTCGAACTCAAACGTTCCTAAAATTAGTCTGAGAAGGAGCTCATGTTCTTGAGGCCTTTCTGATTTGTGAGAGCAGTGCGGGGTAATTCTTCCCATTGATTTCATGCGTTACAATTGTTTCTTTCAGCCAGGACCATCCAACCTAGAGCCTGCGAGCTCCTAATCAGCTGCTGCTCTTCTCACCACACCTGCAGCTGCTGCTGGAGTCTCTAGGCTGCCTCTCCCTCCTCTGACTTCCACCTCTTGCCCCTGCCCCTAGGAGCCCACAAAGTCTGTGCGGTGGGGGAAGCTGTGAGACAGCAGGGGCGGGGTGGGGGGGAAGGGGCTGCACACCGCACAGCATACAGCTGGGCACTTTGCACCCACCAGCCACTCAGAAGTGGGCCAGCCATGCAGTTAAATGCAGTTTGAAATTCAGGCAACGTTCTTTACCTGTGCAACTCCTTCCTCAAATCCTTTAATGACTTCTTGTCTGCCAATCTTGAACCGGAAAGGTTTGTTTCGATCTCTGGAGGAATCAAACTTCTTTCCATTCTGTAACATCCCTGCCAAAACAACAGAAACTCTTTCAGTCCCTTCAGTGCCATGACAAGGAAGTTTGGCACCCGGGGCAAAGCCCACAGCGGCAGCCCACCCTCACCCCAGCGCACAGTTCAGGGGGACACACGCTCCCCCTATGCTTGCACAGGAGTGCACACAGTGGTGGGAGCCGCCCTCCCCCCGTCCCCGCATCTCCCCAAATGAGCTGCTCGGGGCTCCGTCCTGTGCCCCGCCTCGGGTGGGCAGCGCCTGTTGGAGCCCCTTTGCTTTGGTGCCCAGGGCGGTCACCCCACTTGTCTCCCTTGCTACAGCACTGAGTCCCTGCTAAGCCTGAAGGTAAGTGCTGGGACAGGAGTGAACACAGAAATCTTAGCTCAACTGCATATTTCTTTTTTATTTTATTTTAAAAGCTAATCCAATTTTCAAGGGGTCACTTATGCTCGATTTGAGTGATTTAGTATTTGGTAGGGCTGTCTGTCACGTGTCTGGAAATACATTATGGTGGTGGTGATTTTTATTGCAATAAACTAAGGCCCCTACTGTGCTACACACACCTTATGGGACAATCTCTGCCCTGATGAGTTCACAGTCTAAAAAGACAAGGCAGGTGAAGCAGAAGCAGAGAGGGAAGTGATGTGCCCAAGGTCACACTGCAGGTCCGTGGCAGATGGAGGACTGGAACTCAAATCTCCTGATTCCCAGTTCAGTGCCCAGTCAACTAGATGAAGATGCCTTTCTATTTAACCACCTACTTACATATGTCACTCAAGGCACTTACAACATTTAAAAGTCACACAGTCCTTGAAATATAAGCAGAAATAAGTGAAGCAATTGAACTGCATTAAGTGCCAACTGAACAACTGGGTAAGAGCGCCACCAGGATTATTACCATGTTCAACTGCAGACTAGTGATTTACTAAATCTACCTAAACTTTCCTCTTCTAGTCCAAAGCCACCACCTCCTCAAAAAGGTTCAGGTAGGAAAAAAGAGCAATATTACAGTGATGTCTGCTCACGGAAAAACTGCTTTCATTAAGATGTTATATTAAGTCTACCCAAGATAATCCAGCTATGTGTTTTGATCCAGGGCCCAGTGAAGTCAATGACTTCTTTCAGCTTTGGAGTAAACTGAAGTTATATTATAGCTCCCTATACTTTCTGCTATAGGAACCTTGAGCCAACTTTGCTGCCAGTTATTTGCGTAAATACAGAGGAACTCAATTCACTTGTTACAGCAAGTTTACAGCAGCACAACTGAGAGCATGTCTGCACTTTATTACTTTGTGGATTTACTTTGAATGTGTGAACATGAAATTTTCTATAGAGTAAGTTGAGCAGACACGTGACAGACAGCCCTACCACATACTAAAACACTCAAATCCAGCATAAGTGACGCCTTGAAAAATGTGCAACAGCTTTACTATATGGGAGAGTTACTTATACTTATATTGAACATATTGTGTCGCTGCTCCCAAAGTCATTTTCATGTTGAGGTAGCTGTTTGTTCAATGCAAACTGGCTTCCCCACCACCTAATGGCCTGGTGCCGTAACAGTACCTAGTGCAGCCGGCCAGCTTGGGAAACTTGGCTCTGTGTCCACTTGTTACTGTGCAGTAAATTTATACAGAATAAAAGCTAGGGTAAATTATTCCACAGTGATCCTATCACATGTCCACACCCCAGAACTGCAAATCTAAAAGGTTATGTACACAAGTGTGATCATGAGCTTCCAGAAGCATAGAAATCAACATATGTAACTTCACATGTAAAGGTACACTTATATTTTCACTTGGCAACATCAGGTATGCAAAATTCCACCTTATGCATCCATCTGAAAAATTTTAACTCTGACCCAAACTCATGATTGTTTTACAACATAAATATTAGTAATATATACTACAAGGAAAGTGTGTCCAAAGCCTTTTATATACCACTACACCATCATGTATTGTCGCAGGGTTTTGAATAAGGGATACTTATAGAAGCAACCCTAAATTTGAAAAATCTGTAACTGCCCTTTCAACAATGCCAGAGCATTGCACACTAATGATCCCAATACAATGCTGACACTGCAAGTGTTTTGTTTACTTTTACTGCTATTATTATTAATAACTATTACTTCCAGCATTATAGCACCAAAGTGTGCAGTCATGCCCCCCATTGTGCCTGGCGCTTTATGAAGACGGGACAAAAACACTGTCCCAGGATTAGGAAGGAACTGAGGAAAACTGCTAGCTGAAAACAACTCTATCAAGCAAAATTGAAAACCCCTGAAAGTTATACAAAGGGATATGCCCCCTGTGACTCAACAAGTCAAAAATGTACTGCTAATTTCATAATATCATTGCGCAGTCAGAATACTGGGCACAGCTACACAATCAAGTTTTATCTCCCAATAAAGGCATCGGTTATAATTGTCCCAATGACAGACTAGCATACAGTTTTTTTCTTTAGGACAAATATGATGAATCAGATGTCAGTGTGTTTGGAGATGCCTAAGTGCCTGGATGAAAGAAAAAGAATGAAAATGTCTCCAAATTCATTAGTAACCAATTTAGTAGTGATGGAGCTTTAAACTCCAGACATTTTATAACAATATTAGATCATTCCAATAATGCTTACATGTCTAGATGTTGGATATCAAAATTAGAAACACAAGAATTGCCATACTAAATCAGGGTTATTGTCAGTTTAGTCCAATATCTGTCTAAAGCAGTGGCTAAATAGTAAATGTTTCAGAGAAAAGTAGAAGAAACTTTAGAGGGTAAATTATACCACCCTTAGGATATGGTTCTTTGTAATCTTCATTAGTGAGCAGCTACATAATGCCCGAATCATTTTCTGTATGTGTTAATGCATACACATGTATATGAAATGTCTAGGTCGGTTCGTTTGTCTATCTCCCTCTTTTTGTCTAGTCCTTTAGAAAATCCAATTAAGTTCTTGGCCTCATTATCTTGGGGCAATAAGGGGCACAGATTGTTTATGGATTTTGTAAACAGCTATTAAGTTTTATTACTTAAAAATTTGCTGCTCATCTATTTC